CCCCGCGAGCAGCGCCCGCTCTCGGGGCCCGACCTGCGGCCCCCCGACATTCCCGGCATTCCTGGCGCTCCCGGAGCGGGGCCGAAGACGGCGCCGCAGCCCGGACGCCCTTTCCACACCTACCCCCGCGCCGACACCGACCCCTCCCGGGGCCCCCCCACCCAGGTAAATGGGGGTCCTACCCCGGGCTCTTCCTCCTTTTCCTCATCCTTCTCTTGCTCTTCGGGAGCGGCGTCTCTGCTCCTCTTCCTCGCGGCTCCAGCAGGATCAGCGTGTGCCAAAGGCCACCTGCTTCCCTTCCCAGTGCCGTGTCCTTGGCACCAGAGCAGCTTCCTCTTTTTTTCTCTTCCTCTTCCTTACTTTGCTTCCACTCTTCCTCCTTGGAAGTGGCTTCTCTGCTCCTCTTCCTCATGGCTCAAGTGGGATCCACCTGCTTCCCTTCCTGGTGCTGTGTTCTTGGCATCAGAGCAGTTTTGTTTGCTTTCTCTTTCTCTTCCTCTTTTTCCTCACTCTGTTTCCTCTTCTTCCTTGGAAGTGGTTTCTCTGCTGCTCTTTCTCATGGCTGCAGTGGAATCCACCACCTTCCTGGTGCCATGTCCTTGGCATCAGATCAGCTTTCTCTTCTTCCTCGTCCCCTTCCTCGCTCTGCTTCTTTCTCTTCCTCCTTGGAAGTGGCTTTTCTGCTCCTCTTCCTCGCAGCTCCCACGCTCTGGTGGGGATCGGGCCATGCTGAAGGCTTCCACAGCTGCCCTGTCGTTCCCGGTGCTGCATCCTCTGCCCCAGAGCGCCTTCCTCTTCCTCACTCAAACCTTTCCTTTGGCCTCTGGCTGGAGGCCCCGGCGTTGGCTCCCAGCACTCCGGGGCACAGATCCTGTGGCATTTCAGGGGGCTGACCCCCCCGTCCCCCTCTCCCCGCAGGCAGAGCACCGGCCGGGACGCCCGCAGGAGGTGACGCCCAACGGGCCGGTCCCCGCCGGTGGCCCCGGCGGTCCCGGCTCCTCCTCCCACGCCCCCGGCCCCCCACGCCCCAAGGCCCCGGAGCCGCCGCCGCCCCCTGGACCGGACCCTCCGGCCTCGCGGCCCCCCGGTCCCCCGCCCGCCCCGGGGGGGCCCCAGCGCGTGTCCCACGAGCAGTTCCGGGCGGCGCTGCAGATGGTGGTGGACCCCGGGGACCCCCGCACGTACCTGGACAACTTCATCAAGATCGGGGAGGGCTCCACGGGCATCGTGTGCATCGCCACCGTGCGCGGCTCCGGCAAGCTCGTGGCCGTCAAGAAGATGGACCTGCGCAAGCAGCAGCGGCGGGAGCTGCTCTTCAATGAGGTGAGGGCAGAGGGGACCCCCCAGGGCTCCCCCCGACGGGGCTGGGTGGGTCTCGGGGGTCCCAGCGCCACGTGCCCCCCCTCACAGGTGGTGATCATGCGGGACTACCAGCACGAGAACGTGGTGGAGATGTACAACAGTTACCTGGTGGGCGACGAGCTCTGGGTGGTCATGGAGTTCCTGGAGGGCGGCGCCTTGACCGACATCGTCACCCACACCAGGTACCCCCGGTTCCCTCTCCCTGGGTCCTTCCTGTGCCACTCCACACGCCCCTGACCCCCCCCACCATGTGCAGGATGACGGAGGAGCAGATTGCAGCTGTGTGCCTGTCGGTGCTGCGGGCGCTCGCCGTGCTCCACGCCCAGGGCGTCATCCACCGCGACATCAAGAGCGACTCCATCCTCCTCACGCATGACGGGCGGGTACGGCCCCCCTACCCCCAACAAATCCCCCCCGGGCCTCGCTGGCCCTCCCTGCCCCCAGCCCTGACCACTCCCGGCTCCGTTCGCAGGTGAAACTCTCGGATTTTGGGTTCTGCGCCCAAGTGAACAAGGAGGTGCCGCGGCGCAAGTCGCTGGTGGGGACCCCGTACTGGATGGCCCCCGAGCTCATCTCCCGCCTGCCCTACGGCCCAGAGGTGGGGCTGGGGGGTTATGGGGTGGATTTGGGGGACACAGGGTGGGTTTAGGGGTGTTTGGGGTGTCTGCGTGGAACCCTGAGCCCGTTTCCCACCTGCCCTACACCCACGAGGTGGGTCTTGTGGGGGAGTGGGCACAGGGTTTGGGGTGGGTTTACGGGTGCACAGGGTGGGTTTGAGGAGCTCCAGGAGGCCTCCCCCTCAAGCCCTCCCCTTTTTTTTTTTGGCGGCCCCTGCCCAGGTGGACATCTGGTCGCTGGGGGTGATGGTGATCGAGATGGTGGATGGGGAGCCCCCCTATTTCAACGAGCCCCCCCTCAAGGCCATGAAGCTGATCCGCGACAACCTCCCCCCCCGGCTCAAGAACGGCCACAAGGTAACTCGGAGGGGGGGTGATCCCCACTCCCAGGGGGGCCCTGGGGGTGTCTGACCCCACCTCTGCCCCCCCCCAGGTGTCACCCTCCCTCAAGGGGTTCCTGGAGCGGATGCTGGTGCGGGACCCGGCACAGCGGGCGAGCGCCCCGGAGCTGCTCCGACACCCCTTCCTGGGGGTCGCGGGCCCCCCCGCCTGCATCGTCCCCCTCATGCGGCAGCACCGGCTCCGGTGAGACCCCCCCACGAAGGGGGGAGACCCCCCCGGCCTCCTCCTCCTTCTCACTGGCACCCCCGAACTGGAGCGGCACTGGGACGTTACTGGTGGGGCGCTGGCGAGGGGCGCCGGCCCCCCAAATTGTACTACTGAGCTGGGGGGGGGCACTGAGTGCCGCGGGCCCCCCCAGCAGAGATCTGGGGCGTGGGGGACGGCATCATCCTGGAGATTTGGGGGTGCAGGGGCTAATCCCGGTGCCCTCCCCCAGGCAGAGATTTTGGGGGGTGGGGGGCTTATCCTGGTGCTCCCTTTCTTCCTCCTTCCTGTCAGAGATTTGGGGAGCGAGGGGCTCACCCCACTACCCCCCCGCCTTTCAGACCCATTTTGGGGCATTTCCCTCCTTTTTGGTTTCTTTAACCTCCTTTTTCTACTCCCATCGGGCACTGGGGTGTGGCCCCCCCACATCTCCTTGGGGGGGTCCCCAAAACTACAGCCCCTCCACCACACTACTGATTTGGGGTCCCCTCCGGCCCTCCCCACTCCCTGTTTTTGTTGATTTTGGGGTTTTTTGTTGCTTTTCCTCCCCCATTTTGTTTTTTAACAAAGTGATATTTATATCGTTGGGTTTTGTACCATACGGGACGGGGGGGCCCCGGGGGGGACACGGGGCCCCCCCAAATTACACGTGTCCTTTTGGAGCCCCCGGGTGCCGTGTGGTTCTTCGGGGGGGAACACACACCTGTGGGCACTGCCTGCATCCCCTCTGGGGGAAATGGGGAGTCACAGCCTGTGGGGTGTGGGGACCCCCTTTCTCCCCACTGAAAAACCCTTGGGGGGGCTGGTGACCCCCCCCTATAAAACACCCCCCAGGCAGGAGCTGCTGCTGCCTCAGGGCTTTATTTCCTACAAGAGGGGGGGCAGGGACAGGTCATGGCCATGTTGACACGTGTCGGCCCATGGGACACGCGTGGGCTCACGAGGGGCACGACGCGGCCCACGTTGACTTGTGTTGACTCACGTTGGCTGAGGTTGACTCGTCTTGGCCTGTGTTGTCGTGTGTTGGCCCATGTTGGTGTGACTTGGCCCACGTTGACTCACGTTGACTCGCTGTCCCCCTGGCTCTGGCCCCCTGCCCGCGTGGCCACGCCCTCACTTGCAGGTGCAGTAGTACCCGCGGATGGCGTCGTTCCAGTCTCCGAAGAGCCCCCGGCGCACCTCCTGCAGCCGCGGCACCGCGCCGGCGCTGAAGCGCCGCGTGCTGCCCTCCTTGCCACTGCGCGACCACACGTTGAGCTCGCAGCGGGTGCCCACCACGAGCGAGGAGGTGCGGCCAGACCACTTGAAGGGCATGTAGGGCACGTCGCTGTCCGGCTCCACCTCCAGCACGTCGCCGGCGCAGCACTGGTCGTAGTAGGGGCTGTTGTCGGTGTAGAGCAGGGCGCACAGGCGGGTGCCGTTGGCGGTGCGCACCTCGGAGGCGCTGGGGCACTGGGCCTCCACCCCCCCACCCAGCACGGCCACCAAGGCCACCAGTGTCACCAGCAGTGCCGACGCCATCGCCAAGGCCTCCCGAGCCCCAAGGGCCCCCTGGATATACCTGAGCCCCCAAGGCCAGGGGGGTGGGCAGGGACACAGGTGTGCCAGGGGCTGTTCCCCGGCCCTGGGAGGGCACACAGGTGTGCGGGTTCCCGGGAAGGGACACAGGTGTGTGCGTGTCCCCAAGGCCATGGCACACCCACCGTGTCCTGTGCCCTCCCTCCACCCCCTGCGACCCCCCAAAGTTTTCAGCCCCCCCCCACCCCAGGATGGGACCAGGACCTCCCAAAGTGTGCAGCTCCTCCCCCTGAGAAGGGACCCAAGTGACTGGGACGCCCCCCCCTGACCCCGGAGAGGGCCTCAGGTGTTCTGTCCCCATGGAGACCTCGCCCCACCCCCCGGGAAGAGACCCAGGTGATGCCCGTGTCGTGTCCCCCCCACCCAAGGCCGGGATGGGGCCCCTGTGCCCCGAGTGCGGTGGCCCCGCCTCTTTTTGCATATTCATGAGCCGGTGCCACGCCCCGTCACGGCGCCGCCGATCTCCCCTCGGCGGTCTCCATGGCAACCGCGGGGGGCGGGGGTTGCCCCCTCATTAGCATAGCCCGGCCCCGCCCACATTGCGGGAGGGGCAGACGGGGTGGGGGAGTCTCGAGGAGGGGGCTCGAAACCCCCCTGTGCGGTCAGAGGGGACCCCCCCAGGCAGCGACCCCCAACAACAGATAAGGAACCAGGGGACCCCCGGGCAGAGGGGGACCCCTCCAGACAGAGCTGACCCCCCCCC